CTCCCACCCTCTCTCCCTCCTTTCCTCTCTCTATGGTCAATAATAACAAAATTAAAAACTTAAGCTTAAAAAAATAAATTACAAAATGTACAAAAGTTCTGAACACATACCTCACCAAAGAAGATATAGAGATGGCAAATAAGAATAATAAAAGTTGCAAAAAATAAAAAACAAAATAAACAGATGCCTCCTAGCTGGTTTTGCTCAATGTATAGAGCGTTGGACTGCAGACTGGAAGGTCCCGGGTTCGATTCCAGTCAAGGGCATATACTTGGGCTGCAGGATAGATCCCCAGTAGGGAGCATGCAGGAGGCAGCTGATCAATCATGGTCTCTCATCATTGATGTTTCTATCTCTATCTCCGTCTCCCTTCCTCTCTGAAATAAATAAAACTATATTAAAAAAGAAAAAAAACAGATGCCTCCCATCATTTATTATTAGAGAATTGCATATTTAAAAAATTAAGATATCATGTCACACCTATCAGAATGGTGCAAATCTGGAGTACCAACAACACCAATACTGGAGAGGATGAACAACAGAGTTCTCTCATTCACTGCTGATGGGAATGCCAAATGGTACAGCCACTTAGGAAGGCAGTCTGACAGTTTCTTACAAAGCTACACATAGGTCTACCATTCAATCCAGCAATCACACTCCTAGTTATTTACTCAAATAAATTGAAATCTATATCCACACAAAAACCTGAACCTGAATGTTTATAGCAGCAACCAAAATGTCTTTCAATGGATGAATGAATAAACTGTGAAATGGATATTATTTAGCAATAAATGAAAGAGCTTTTCAGTTATGATAAAGCATGGAGGAAACTTAAATGTACATTGCTAAATGAAAGAAGCCAGTATGAAAACACAACATATAGTATGATTCCAACTAGTGATATTCTGGAAGAGGCAAAACTATAAAGACAGTAAAAAGATCAGTGATTGCTAGGGGTTCAGGAAGCAGGGTGGGAGGAGGGATGTTTCAGTGAATTGCAGTGTATTTTCAGGTCAAACTATTCTATATGATGTATTGTGGTGGATACATGACTTTATACATTTGTCAAAACCAATAAAACTATAAAATATAAAGTCTAAACTTTAAGATATAGACTTTAGTTAATCAATGTTGGTTCATCAATTGTAACAAATATTCCATACCACTGCAAGATGTTAACAGTAATAGCAAAAATTGTGTATTATGGGGGGGGGGCTCTGTATTCTCAATTACTCAATTTTTCTGTAAATTTATTTAAACTAAAATTGTTCTGCAATTAAGTCTATTAGTTATTTAAAATGATATAAGAAGAAGTAGCATTTCGAAAGGAAAATAAATTGAAATAGAATGCTTTCTGTCAAAAAGATATGAAAAATACAAGCATAAAGAGCAATGATAGTCTAATTCACCTTTTACATTTTACTATTGATAAATGCAATTAGAATAGAGATTCCCACTTCAAACTGTACCTTTTATAATAGTTTTTCATTTAAATATATTTTGATATTATAATCTAGTTTACAAAGTGATGTCCAATTGTAGTATTAAATAAACCTTAATTCAGGGTGTTATTTTCATTATGATCTAATAACCTTATAAGAACACCTTAGAGAATATAAAACATTTTATTTTCACAACAACTTCAAAAATAATAATGAAATAATAAATAGCATAATATCTAAAATAATATTTATTCTCCTCCAAAATGCTTTACCTTAGTTGACTGGTAGAGACTACAATTTCCTCCTGTTAAATAATGCCTTATAGTCGCATTTTTTTTCTCCTCCATTCTTTTGTGTGTGGAGAGTGGTAGTGGTCCTTATGTTATGCTTTTTATTTTGGAATAATTTTACAGCAACACTGAAAAGAAAAATCAGAGGTATTTTTGGGTGAACTTTCAACTCAGCTTCTTAATTTTAGCATTTTCCATAACCTTAGTATATCTACCAAAACTCGTAACTTATCATTGATTCGGTATTGTCAATTAAACTATAAGTGTTATTCTTATTTGACCAGTTTTTCCCTTAATTTATTTTCTTTTGTTCCAGGAAAAAAATCAGAATACCACATTGCATTTTCTAGTCATGTATCCATATAGTCATTTTCTATCTGTCATAGTCTCTGAATTTTTCCTCAATGGCAGATTTTTATTTGTTTATTTTTTTTTACCACCCCAAGTCCAGTCTCCTTCCATCAGCATCCCAGTCAAGGCACATACCACCCCCTCTTTACCTCCTTCGACCTCCCCACAACCTGCTCTCCCTCTGGTAATCACCGTACTGTCGTCTGTTTCTTTGAGGGTTTCTTAATCTGTTTTCTTTATTTTTTATATCCTTGACAGTTTTTAAGTGTTAGGTATTTTGTAGATTTCCTCCCAAGTAGTGTGTGCCTGATGTTTTCTCACGGTTAAGCTGAGGTCATGAACATTTGGAAGAATATGACAGAGGTGAAGTGTCCTCAGTTGATATCAGTGGGTACATGATATCAACATGACTTTTCATGGTGATATTAGACTTGGCCTCTTGGTTAAAATACTGCCTGTCTTCCAGTTTTCTCCACTATAAAGTTTCTATTTTCTTTTTCCATTAATTAATTTTTGTCAGTTTGTCATTAAGTGAACACTACACTCAAGGGGGAAGTATCTCTATATATTATTTGAAGTTCTTGTGTAAGAAAATTCTATTTCTTGTCCCTATTTACTTATTTAATCAAGTATACTAATAAAAGGGTAATATGCTAATTAGACCGGGAGACCTTCTGGGAGACCTTTTGGACATCTTTCTGGACATGGTGGCGGGACTGAGGCAGAGGTGATTAAGGGCGATCAGGCCAGCAGGGAAGAGCAGTTGGGGGTGAGCAGGCCGGTGGGAGAGGGCAGTTGGGGGATCAGGCTGGCAGGGGAGTGGTTAGGGGGTGATCAGGCTGGCAGGCAGAGGTGGTTAGGGGCAATCAGGCAGGCAGGCAGACAGGCAGGCAAGCAGTTAGGAGTCAGCAGTCCTGGATTGTGAGAGGAATCCGGCAGTCAGAAATCCCCTGAAGGGTCCCAGGTTGGAGAGGGTGCAGGCCGTGCTGAGGGACACCCAGCCCTTCATGCACGAATTTTGTGCACTGGGCCACTAGTGTATTTGTAATAGTATGGACTGTTGTTATTTGAGTTTATATTGTTCTTTGAATTAGAATATATTATCATCAGTATTTATTTTCTTACTTGAATTATTACAGCTTTGTAAAGGAGAGATCTATAAGTCTGGCTCCTGTGTCCTTTTGACAATTCCCTTTTTAAAATAGAAACTATCTGTAAAGATACATTATATGGGCTGGAGTTATGTCATTTTAATATAATGCAATAGTAGTTTACACAAGCCATACAATTAGCATCACATCTTTCTCCCTATACCCTTAATATACACTTATTAGTGATTGATTGATTGATTTAGTACATGCTTATTGTGCACCTACTGTGTGCCAGACATGATTCTAGGCACTGGAGCTAGCTTAGGGGTTGAGATCAGAGATTTAACAAGATGCTGATGAAGCAGATCCTTGTGGACCTTTGAAGAGAACTTTGGTTTTTTGTACATAAGATAGAGAGCCCCTGCAGGGTGTTGAGCAAATCATTGCATCATCTGCTTTAATATAGACAGACACTGATCACTGTAGTTGCTGTGTTAAAAAGAGACTATAGATGGGCCAATGTTGATGCAGGAAGAAAAGTTTGGAAGAGCAATTATAATGCTTAGTACTGATTTTGCATACAAGTTCAATGATTTTCCAGTGTAGAAATGTTAAAATCAGGCTTAATTCCTTTTCATTAAGTTATAAAATTGCTTTCTGCATATTCTAATCTCATAGACAACTTGCCACCTTTCTGATCCCTGTATGGAGGGAATAATTTATTCATTTTCTGTCAGATAGATGTACATTAAAAACATTCCACAGGACTTTATCTTAGGCAGCATATATAAAAATTATTATATAATAATGTACTACGTGTTTCTAAATTTAACTATGAGATTGCACTAAGCTAATTTCAAATACTTTTAAATATGAATATGTGCATAATAATATATGTGTTTGAAGATTAGTGCATCCAGAATTCAGAGATAATAAAAACATTGTCTATCCCATCTTGCCTTGGAATTTCAGATACCATATGAAGAAGCAGAGATAAAAGGAGAAAGCAAGGAACAACTTGAATGCTGGTAAAGTAAGCCTCTACATTGCAGCAGTTCACAACGGTGTGTTATATATAGAAAGAAGATCAGTCATTGGTTTTAATCCTGCTAAATAAAACGGAACTATTGGAATGGCATGCCACTTGACCTTTCGGATTTCAGGAGCAGTATATAACTGGTGTGAAGGAAAAACACTTGCAAAGTGTCTTCTTTGACATGACAGATTCTCCTGGAGGTTCACACAATGTTCAAAAGGCAGAAGTCCCTTGTTTCAGAAAGCAAGAGAGACCTTTCTTCCCCAGGAGCTACGCGGTCCACAGCGAAGAATGACATGAGAAAATTTCAGTCTTTTTCTCAACTTATACTCTCAGCGGGCCCTCTCAAGTCAGCTCCAGCAGTGAAACATTTAAAAGCAGCTCACTTTGAGATTGAAATACTTGACGCGCAAACAAGAAAGCAGATATGTATTGTGGATAAGGTGAGTTTGTTTATTTAAATTTCTCTTCTCTGCTACAATGATTATGAATCTCTAAAATGCTGACCAGACTGTAGTAAAGCACATTCCTGGCTTTTAGTGCTTTTCTTTTTTAATGAGCAGGATAGACACTTTATACATTGTTTCAGTAGAAGAAATTTACTGCATTTCGCATAATCAATTTAAATGGTAGCTAATAAATATTAGGTCGACCATTGTCGGGAGGCAAAATTTCCATTGTTCGCCTTCTCATTGTACATGAAAAAAATGCCTCTACATTTTTCTCTTCATGCACTTGAATATTCATATTATCAGAGAGTTGTAATAGTATTTGTAGAAAATAGCAAGCAAAAGTCACTGAAATTACTAAAAATTCTATTTAACATATATGATGAAGTCTCTCCATTAAAAATAATTTAATATTGATTTAATTATTTGTCTTGAAAAACGAACAACTCACTTTTTATAAAAGGTTTACTTATTTCAAAACCACAGTTTCTTGTTTTATGTTACCCACTTATATTCAGAGCACAGATGTTTCACTAAATAAAGATAAAATATATACTTTCTAGCTTACATTGTAGATAACATATGCATGTATAATATTTCAAACACTTTTAGTCTTTCAGAAGTTTGAAAAGACACTAGTAGTTTAACTTATGGGAAATATTGATATTTTAAATAAAATATTCATTTATTTTTCTTTACTGAAGTTTAGTTTTTGCTTTTGTTCTAAAAATAAAATTGAATCACTGATTCCATTTAACCAATCTCTAGCCCTGTTTCTAGATAAAAAGGGAAGAGAAGTACTTGTTTACTGTTTTAATTGCCAAGAAAATAATATATATTCTCTTATTTAGTAATTATAACTTATTATTGGTTTATTTTGAGGTAATATTAACTTTTAATTATTGATGGAAATGAAAAATAAAGCACTTTTTCAAGTTCATACAGGACATAAGTGCAACATAGAATTAAAACCATTTTATGCAACTCTGAATCATATAATTTTATTTAGTACCATTGGGGCCATATATACATGATGAATATATATGTTATGTATAAACAATTATAACTTATTAATTTCATACACAGCATAAGCTATTCTGTCATTTCAGTAAAGATTTTATATTTTTGCATTATACAAAAATAAGACAAAAATAATATAATCTGGAAGTTGCTGACATGTTTTGAATGCTCACCATTCAAAAAGCTTTAAAATAATACACTTAAATTAAGGGAAATATGGCAATCAATTTGATGCATGTTAAATTGGTCAAGGATTTACAAAGATGAAGATCCTAAAATGAGACTGGTTATTGTGTGCTTTCTGATATGTTTTTAAACCTTGACCAAAAATCCACATTAAAATACTGAAAAGCGGATGTGCTCCTAATTATTTTCCTCACATTTATATCTCATGATATTGTGATTTCATTTGAAGCTAAGACATGGTATTTTACATTCTAGCAATATTTAAATTGCAAAAAAATTAAGCACCCAGAAACCCAGCATTTTTTGGAGATAGGTATTTGGCTCAGGAATCTCATATTTAAAATGTAAGATTCCTGGTATTTGCATTTCCAGTAGCAAACTTTTAGGGGAAACTCAGTAAGCTAGACAGGGGATTAGTTTTGAATGCCTCACCAACCTTTATTGGACAATCAACACCATATGATATACAACTTACTACATACAAATCTTTGTCTTGACAGTTGAATTGGATTTTACTTAATCTTATTTTAATTTTGTAATATGGTAAAAATTATCTCATAATGATGGCATGACTTTTTTTTGATGGCATGACTTTTAAAAGAAAAAATCTTAATTAATTTACTTTTTTGTTGTTGTCTCATGATTCTTACTAGTTCAAATTTGTAACTATGAGAAAGATTGATTGGGTTTGCTCTTCAAGATATTGTTTTTCTTAGACAAATTAATAGTTATATTAAAAGTAAGGTCATGTTAAGTGCCTTTCATTGCATTTAGCTCTATCCAGCATACAAGAGAAGTGTTGCTTATGACGTAGTCCTTATCTTTCAGTAAGTACTGTCTAATAAAGTTAAGGGTCATGTACTTTGGAAGTATGCATAGCTGCACCGAATCCCTGCCACATCAATCACATTTATCAAGGTTCAGGAAAGTCACTGAGTTGCTGAACCCAGGACCATTATTTAGAATATAGGTTAATAAAAATCTATTTGTAAGTGCATAGTGAAGAGGAGGAATATGATATTTAACAGGCTTAGCATAGTGCCTTGCACAGAATAGGGAAAATATTTTTGTAGTTTTAATAATCATTTAGAGAGATAAATTTAATGTATGTAAATATCTAAGAAAAAAATAGGTTCATCCTTGTGATACTGGCACAGAATCAGAATTTCAATTTGACTTCTTAATAATTATCCATTAACATGATTTATTAGATATAAATGTTTAGGTATCTTGAATAGGATGTATGTATCTTAGTAATATATGCTGAGCTCTGTAGAAATTGTGTTTGTATCTAAATATTATAACATCAACTTCAGAATGGACAAAGAATGTACTAAGGATATTCACAAGACCAAGCCATTGAGAGAATTCCTGGGATTAAAGAAAATATATGGAATCATGTTCTTCTGCACATGCATGCGCGCGCATACACACACACACTAAACAAAACACTTTCAATTGCCTTAAATATCTTCTTTACCTTGTGCCCCATTTCCCTCACTATTTTCATTATGTTCATTTCATCTGCCCATCATTTATTTTCTCATTTTATCCTAAACACACTCCATTCAGGTATCTTCCTCTGTTACTTTCCAGGATATGAACTTGCTGAGGTCACCGGAGGCAGTGGTAAATTCCTTGCTAAATCCAAAGGTCAATTCTCATACTTCATCTTACTCAGTATATGAGGAACATATGAGCATTTGCCACTGTTAAGTACATCCTCTTTAAGACACTTTTGCTATTTGAGTTCCAGGATAATAATACACAGATTTTTTAAAATCAACTTTATGGGCTCCACCCTTTTCTCTTGCTTCTTCTTTATCTGATTTATTAGGTGTGGACTGTCACCAACTCAGTCATCAGAACTTCTCATATTTGGTAATCATCTCTCTCTCTCTCCTATCATCAATCTATCTAATCTATCTACCTATCTATCTGAATGTTTACTAGGCATCTCATAGTTAGCATATCCAACACTCAACATCTGATCGTCTCAAAAAATGTTTCCACAAGATTTTTTAGGTCAATAAGTGGAATCACATTTTTCAAATAGCTCAAGGCAAGCGCTTAGAGGCATCACAACTTATCTAATCTCACAACACACATGCAATCCATCTTCACGGTTGTGCCTTCACATATAATCCAGACAATGAAAAATTTTAACCACCTCTCCTGCTAGAACTCCTGGTTTTTGCTTCTGTTTCAGTCCTTAGTGCCTTCAAATATATCCCCTACACTGCAACAGAACAAGCCTGTTCAATTGTGCCGGATAATATCATTCACTACTCAAAACTAGTCAATGTTTTCCTTTAGGTCTTGACTTAACTGTCACTTTCTTTCTTGTGGCTTTTCCTTACTACTTATTTAAAATTTCAAAATCTGGCAATATATTCCATTACCATTCCTTGCTCTATTTCTTTAATAGCACGTATTTATTTTTTCATTTTGTTTATTATTTTGCCTACTTTTTTATGCCAGCTTCACAAAATCAGGGATTTGGTTTTTATCACTCCTGTATATCCAACATTTAGAACAGTGTTTGGCACAAATAAAACATTTAACCAATATGTACTAACTAAAACAATTCCCCTTTAAAAGATATGTGTTTTTTATAATGCACTCTTGTTTAGCACTGATAGTGTTAAGATAGAGAAATATAGTATTTAAAAATAAGTTTTACTATTTTCTAAATCAAATTATCAATGGAATAAATGTAAATATATTCCTAGAAAAAGCATTTAAATCATCCATTCTACTAAATGCCCAAATTCCTCTTGGCTTGCTACAAACAATGATGTATATAATTTAACTTTGAATTAGTGTATAACTTGCTAAACAGTTACATTATAATTACAAAATCTAACAAGATTTTCACAAAGATGATAATACAGATGGGGATATTTAACTAATTTAGTTATTTCCCATGAATGATAAAGAAATGACTAACCAAGAATAAGGTAGAGAATAGATTTAAAATATATTGTTAAATATTATTCTTAAATATTTATTGGAACATCAAAAATATAATGGAAATATTAATTTTAAAAATTTAACAATGAATTATTTCTAGTTGTTAATTATCTCTGTCTCACTTCTATTTTGTAAAATGTCAGAAGCTTATCTTGTGATAAGTCAATGATTCAAGAGCATGGCTAGAACTCTAAAAGCTTGGGTTGGTAAACGTTTCCAATATCATCCCATTCTTTTTTCTTTAATTTTTTTTTCCAAGGAACTTGACCACAAGAGCCCTCTTTCTCCTATTGTTTAATTTGTTTTATGTCAAAACTCTCAAAAGCCTTTCAAAAACTCTTACAAATAAAATAAAGCACTCAATAAATCTCCAATCCTTCTTACAGTAAAATACCAGCTCTTACCAGAAAATACTAGAGAGAATTATAGTGCAGTATGACTACATAAAAATTGCACTTTTAATACTTAAATAGAAATTTTGAGAATTCTTAATTTCTGACATTACCGCTTTTAATATTTCCTCTTGGGCAAGCTACTTAGCACATCAATGCTTCCAGTTGTTCATCTGTAAAGTAAGAATGGCACCTGTTTTAAAATGGCCTCATGACAGTTTTCTGAATTTCACATATAAATGACATTATTTTCTTTTTCTTCTGTTCTTCTCCTTCATCCTCCTGCACCTCTTTTTTCTTCCATATTTCCTCCCCCACACCTTCTTCCCATCCCTGCCTCCTTTTCCCCCTCCTCCTCAGTGCCCTTTCCCTACTTCTTATTATGTAGCGTAATATACTAATAGTTGAAAGCTTATAAACTTT